CCAAACTGCTCAGCCTTATTCTGCAAGGCCAGGTGATATAAGTGGAAATGATGCTGTGATTCAGAGCAGTGAAATGAGACTTGGAGAGTGTAAAAATGCAGACTTTCTGTAATGGCCTTCTGTTGTGCTTGTTTGGAGTTAGGCTACCCAACAGTTCAGTGTAGCTGTTCTGTGAAGCCCCCATAACTGAGAAACTGCATACACTTTGTAGTGTCAGGCATGCAGTAACATCAGAAACAAAAATCACTATGATTTTTCAAAATGCCCGTGTGCCTGCTTCCTGGTAAAATAACAGTGCCAGGCATGCAGAAAACTGTAATAGTGGAGACCACACTAAACTGTTTAAGGCATAAGTACCTGTAAAATCTGTCCCTTACTGCCCAATAATTTTTACAAAACCTTTTAAGCTAAAGATACAGGTTTCATTCTAATGAGTTTCCTGTCAAACAGGGGCTCATAGTCTAGCCATATTACATCAAATTTGCCCTTATGCTGACACTTTGGTAAGCTAGAACTCCAGTTCTGATGAGAAATTGTGTGATAATAATCTCTGGCAAGCATTCACAAATAAAAAAGAGAAGTAGGGACAGAGGTGTAGTGTATTGCTTCCACCATTAGAGACAGCTCCTACTAGAGATGTCTGAGCAGCACATCACGCTCTTGCTTCCCCTCCCTCGCTCTCTCTCTCTCGCCCCCTCTCTGCTTCACAAACACAGTTTTAATTTTAGGAATCAGAAATGTAATGAAATCCAACCCATAATTTAAGGTTAATTTAGCATTGAGTTAAAACAGAAAGTCTGAAACCGACAGTATACCTCATTCTTTAGCATAAATCAGGAGTAAAGAGCTGGGAAATCAGACCCTATAATCATAATGAACCAGAAACACTGAGCATGATCAAATCAAACCATAGTTTAAATATGTGTAAATTAATTTTATCATTCATTTGCTTTATTTATCTCTTATAATGACACTTCTTGTCAAATCACCTTCATTACCTACTTTGTCAACCTAGGATTTTTATCAGCCAAAGAGAACCCAGGACTCTATCTAAAGTTATTTCTTTGGTTGGCCATATTGGGTTTTTTATTTTAAAAAGATGCACAAATTCATGAACTGTCCTTTCCTTGATGCCTGATGCAATCAAGCTTCTCAGGTTGCTTACAGCTCTTAGCATGCTGTTAATTAGAGCAGGTGACAGTACTGACAGACACACTCCCAAGCATCTTCCTCTCCAGTGAAGCACACAGTTGATATATGCTGTCACTGGCTGCTTCAAGCACCCAAAAGAAAAAAGGAAAAAAAACCCAACCACAAAAGGCTAAAAATCCAAGCAGAAGGTAGCATGCACATAACTTTTGGACCCTCATGGTTATTTAGTATTGTGAGAACAATTCAGACATTCTGGTCACAATTAGATGCTGGCTGAATGACTATACATATTGCTTGTTTGTTCCTTCTACAGATACACCTGGTAAAAGATGAGAATAAAAACCATGTACAGTTGAGAGAAGAACCAGTGTTTGTGGAACAATATCATAGGGTTCATATTTTGAGTTTAAAAGAAATTTTATAGCTATATGTTCATTAAATTAATTAGTAACCGACAGATGCAATACACCAAAACCATGAAAAATGGCTACAGAGTAAAACTTACGAAGACATACAAATTACTTTAGTAGCCTAATTTTCATTTTGAAAATTCCTGAAAATTGACTCAGTTGAATTTCCAGCTCTCAGGTGTTTAAGAAACATTTTGATAACTAAAGATGCACATAGGCACTCACTTAAATGCTGAGCATTTAAGTAACTACAAGTGTTGAGTTTTTTTAAGTATCCCACTAGGGTCCAGATTTCCAAAAGGGTTATTATCAGTCATATTGCTTCTAACAGAGGCAAAGTCCTATAAACTGAGGACCATCTCTCCAAAGCAGGTATGTTAGTCTGTACACATAGGCGTTCTTAGATTAATGAATACTGGAATTGATGTAGTTGTTTCAAAGTGTGTAATGAAAATCATTCACCATTAGAACAGTAAGAGACATAAGAAAATACTTAAATGGTAAGAAACATTTCATATTTTCCACCTTGTTCATGAGAAAATACTAAAATAACTCAGATCTCTTCTGTAATTCTTAAATAACCTTGCTGAAGATTTTAATTGGCAGGAAAAACATGGGTGCCTTTATGAATACAATTAAGAAGAACAAAGCATCTAGTTCTAAGTGCTCATCTCTTATATTTGTTCAATAGGGTTTTATTTCTGTTGAAACTCAGTTTGGAGTAAATATCAGATTCTCACATCCAGTGGCTCCACCTTCCAGGAAGAACTGTGGAAGTGCCAAAGGAGGAAAATAGGCAGAAAAGGGCAGTGTGTTAGGACTTTCCTGCATGCCTTATCTTGCTTAGCTATTCCGTCTCCTGTCAGAGGTGTAGAGCTGGATTCTGATTTTAGTGGTGATTCAATTAGTTCAAAGGAAGCTCATGATAACTTCACTGATGGGCATAGAGAATTCCTCTGGACTGAGAATCAGTCCCACAGTGTGTCTCCTTGCAGGCTGAAGGAAAGGGAAAAAATGTTTACGTGGAGCTAAGAAGGAGAAACGGGAATGCATGTGTTGGAAGTGCCTTTTTATTAGAGCAGAAACTCCTCAACTTCCTGCCTCCCTCTGAAACTGAGAGGGAGAGACACAGGACAGAAATAGAATTGAAAGGAAAACCTTTAAAGTGTCTTCTGGTTTATCTTTAATTGAACTGTGAAGTCTATATTCTACTTTTCATTATCAATGTATTTCACTAATAAAAGGCTAGCGAAGAATCCGAAGAATAAATGTACAAAATTATTAAATTTCTCATCAGCTTTCATTAACATTTTAAATGCATAGTTTTTATTATTTCTGAATAAATGCAAGGACTACATTTTTTCTTTTTTTAATGTTCTGTGTGAAAAAATCTAAGTGGAATCCTTTTATTCTTTAAAAAAGCTAACGTGCAGACTGTACCAAAATAACAAAATATGTGAATTAAAAGAAGTAGAATAAATATATTAGTTATCATTTGCCTATGTGCTGGTATATTGCCCAGTCTTCACATTATGAAACAGTACTGAAAATGCTGCAGATCGTGAAAGGAGCTATGATGAGTACTATTACCACTCAACATAGGTAGTACAAAGCTTCATATCTTTTAGTCTATTGTCCAACAAATCTCTTATTCACATTACTCTCCAAATCTGAAAATATGCTTTTATCTCACCTTTCAATTTTCAGGTAGCACTATCTGCTCTGAAGATAAACAAATAAACAATTTATGTCCATGTCTGTGAGAGCATCTTTAATTGTTAAAGTAGGAACAAAATCTTCCCAGCCTCATTCAGAAGCACAATTAAATTGGCCTTGGGTTTCTAACACTGCAGATATATAAAAATTATCAGCTTTGGGGTTACAAGAACAAACTAACAAAAACGCTTATATTGGTTTTACGGTTGGGAAAGTCCTCTTCACATTTACTTAAGTTTGATAACTTCAAATTTAACCCTGAACTATTTCTCCATTTGTCTTTACATTCCACTGGGTAGATCTGAGGACAGGAGACTAAATTTTTCATATTCTGAGTCCACTACAGGGAGCAACTCTACCTCACACTGCAGCACCTTAAGGAAAGGTGCATGCTTGAGCAACATCTTGCTGCAGTGTATTGCAGCTGATCAGAAGTGCACAGCTTACAGTCCTGCTAATATGTTAGCTGGGAGAGACTTTAAAAAACATGAGGAACACAGCAAGTTTTCAGTAGTGTATGCTAAGCCTTCACCTCTGAAAAGACCATGCCTCTTAACTCCCTGACCTAACTGATGCATAGAGCTGCACTATATTGTTCAAAGGTTGTCACAGGCAGTTGCCATTTTAATACAATGTACATAATGGGCCCTTCACTTCTATTGGAATCATATTTACTAAATCCACAAGTTATTTTCTCAAATTTTGTTTAATAGGTTACATTTTTTCTCCCAGTTTCAGAGTCCTATTTGTACATTTACTGAACATTGATGTAAAATGGGAAAATTACAACTGACAGGCACTGTAGGATTGCAGTAATTATTTTAAAATAAGGCTGATTTGTTCTACTGCTTCTTTCCCTGAGGCCAATAACTGGAGGCTAGTTATACTGCAATTCAACAAGCCAGAGGAAAAACACCTGTTGCATATGATTTTTCTCTATTAAAATGCAATGAATAATTCAACATGAATATTTTAAAAAGCATCACTGTTATCATGCCTCTCAGTTCTTAAGAAAGCATTTGTAGCTGAAGAGAGAGGGCCAGGTCAACCCAAAATATTGTCCTATAAGGTGTATTAGTCCACCCACTTTCTTAGATTTACCAAAACCACAACTGTGCTTTTCCCTGTTGTCGTGGTTTAAGCCCAGCCGGTACCTCAGAACCGCGCAGCCACTTTCTCACTCCCCCCTGGCCCTCCTTTCCTTCCCCCCGCTCCCGGAGGGATGGGAAGGAGAATTGAAAGAATGTAACTCCCATGGGTTGAGATAAGAACAGTCCAGTAACTAAGTATAACACAAACCTACTACTGCTACCACCGATGATAATAATGATAAGGGAAATAACAAGGGAAGAGAATACAACTGCTCACCACCCACTGACCGATACCCAGCCCAACCCAAGCAGTGATGTAACCCTTCCAGGTAACTGTCCCCACTTTATATAGTGGGCATGACATGCTATGGTATGGAATACCTCTTTGGCTAGTTTGGGTCAGGTGTCCTGTCTCTGCTTCTTTCCTGCTCCCCCTCCTCCCTGGCAGAGCATGAGACTCAGAAAGTCCTCGGTCAGACTAAACATTACTGAGCAGCAACTAAAAACATCGGTGTTATCAGCACTGTTCCCAGGCTGAAATTCAAAAACACAGCACTGAACCAGCTACTGAGGAGAAAAAATTACTGCTACTGCTGAACCCAGGACACCTGTCATTAACAGAGCAATGATACAGCTTCACTAGAATCATAGAATCATAAAATAGTTTGGGTTGGAAAGGACCTTTAAAGATCATCTAATTCCAACCCCTGCAGTGAACAGGGACATCTTCAACTAGATGAGGTTGCTCAGAGCCCTGTCCACCCTGGCCTTGAATGTCTCCAGGGGTAATGTTCCACTGATTTTCTACATTATATTATTACATACATAGATGTAAGTGAGCTGAAAAAAACCAACTGAAAAAGATGGTGCATTTGTGCAATGGTTATTCCAAATAAGCAATTCCAAACTTAAGACAGAGTAATTAAGGTGAATTTTATAGTGTTTCATATGAAGTAATTTCCCATTTCACTGAAGTAAACAGGTAAGTTCCTACTGGATGGAGTGGAACCTAGATAGAAGTTACAATCCAGGTCAGTGATTCAGCTTGTTTCGCAAAAATTCCTTTATTACTAAAATTCCATGAAAGACAGATAAGTTTTGTGCATTGAAACCATTAAGTGTACATAACCTTGGGTTTACCAAAAGCTCAGAAGATCATAAAGGGCTCAAATATACCAACTGACTAATAGAAAATTATAAGCATCCTCCTTAAACACATATCAAGACTGCTCAGGAGCTTGAAGCACTGAGCTCACATAAAAGAAGAGAAAGTTCCTTACCAGTACAAATAGATACAAAGTAAATAAATATTCTTCTCAGACAGCTCTAATAATCTGAACTCTCACTTGTTTCAAGGTAAGGAAGTTGCATGCTTTCAGCCTGAAGGAAGGATCTACAGAAATAGAGGTTGAGGAACTCTATTCATTATTACTAGTAACCATAACAATAGTTTTACATCCTATGACTCCTTGAGCACTGGCTAAGCCATCCAGGCTCTGTCATGTCTAAGTTTTAAGAAGCATCCTCATGAAATTCAAACTGAAGTGCTGTGAATATAAATTGCTAGAACTTTCACTTCCAAAAGTTCATTCACTCAGTATATGACTTACAGGGACAAATTATATAATTCTCTCTGTAGGTTTACAAATTCACTGGAAAGACAATCTATAGTACCCATGATTCAAAAGGGAAATAATGCATTTGTTCAGATGCTACGTACTGGCAGATGAGGCAATGAATTCAGTAATATTTTCAGTGATTTTTAATATCCTTTCACAAACCAATGATTAAATCCATAGCCTGAGAGAATGGCTTAATCCTGATTAGACATGTATGAAAATGCTTGCATTTAGGGGAAACAGAAACTTTCCAGAAGTGGGAGTGATATTTCTAATTGTCCTTATGCTTTGCAGTATTAAAAAATACTGCTGTCTCACAGCACTCCTACAGCACTGTACCAATCATAAGTATGTATATCTGCAATCATAAGTAACTTTAAACCAGCTATAGACAGCATGTCTGGAAGTGAGCAGTTCTGCATTTTTTCAATTTTAGGACTTAGAAAGTTTTCACAAATTTTGATTGGATGGGGGAGAAAAATTGTAGAGGTTCTCTGTTTTAATTTTCAGTTTTTTCTAAGCCATTTTGTTCAGTATTTTATGTTCATGAGCATCATTAGCATGGTTCTTTAAGGAACTATAATTTTCAGCCTTCTCTCTACCTGAGGAATCCATATTGGGCAGGAACAAAAACAAGTCAAATGAACCTTCTGTAGGTCAGGAACTGAAGGACTTGCAAAGCTAGATGTTGGATCTACATGATCCCATTATCTTCATAGACTGCTCCAACCCTTTTTTGGATCAGATAACATCTTCAGTTCTACAACTGAACTCACACAATTGCACAGTTAGGTTTGTTTTAAAACTTAATTTCATAAGGTTCCCCTTTATACTGCAAGACAGATTTACTAATTATTTTTTATTTTCCATATCATTCATGATATCATGGGCATCTATCCTGTTCCTGAAGTCATCCTACTCTAGCTTCATGCAGAAGTTATGCAAAACATTTGTTTTTATTTTCCTATTCTGTTCTTTTTTTATAATTCTTCCATATTCATTTAGAGATGAAATCATCAAACTTAAAGTAATGGTGAATACTACAGGTCCACAAAGTGTTATAATAATCTTTTTGTTTTGCTCTCAACCCCTTTTCTAAATTTAGTTAAATTCCCTCTGCATTTTTTTTTGCAGTTTTCACAGAGAACCCTACAAATGATTCATGTGGCAGCAATTCTGTCTTACAGATGTCTCTCCATGACTCTGTGGAGAATTTATGGACTCCGTGAGTCCATTTTGGCATCCAGCAGCCAAGTCCTTCATCATCACTACACTGCCTGCATTTGTAACGAAGAAAAGCTACACAACCTCATCTTGCTTCCCAGATGTAATGCCATCCCCTGTAGCAACCTCCTCTGTGTCTGACGAGTTGGTTTCACTATATAAATACCTCCATAATTACATATGGAACTGTTAGTAACTACAATGTCATTTTTCCACAATGTCATGCTATGGGTGTCTGAGTGTCAAAGCTTCTAACCACATAGACTGCCAGGCTGTTGAAGCCATCCCTTAGGATGACTGCTCTCATGTAAGGGAAATTATTACTGGCTAAGAAATTATAATGTTTATGTTTCAAACAATAAGAAACCTTACTCTAAGTTTATTCATAAAAATGATATCCCTAGAATTTTAATATGTTTGTAACACTTATTTCTGAAAAAGACAGTGGGTTTCACCTGTCACCTGAATCACAAAATATTTCCATGACATCTAGATGAGATCATCATATTTCTGGTACTATTACTTTTCCTATAGAGTTTAACTACTGCTGCAAGCCACAAGAACACGAGAAAGACACTAACATTGTTCTGTGCTTCTTTTACACTTCCTGTATTTGTTTTTAATTTTATTGCTCCTTTTGCCATTAAGGCAATTAACCCCCCCACACACCCTAAAGCCAACCAATCAATCAACCAAATTAACTAAACAAACTAAAAACCCCCATTCTATAGGAACACACCATCATAATACCATAATGCCATAATATGAAAATCCTATTCACCTTGAATTAATTTCTTTAGCAAAAAAAGAAATTTAAAATTACTAGATAATATAAAATAGTGATTTGCATTCAACATTGAAAAAGACATTTGGAAGCAGAAGTTCTACCATGTTCCTATGTTATTCCTCCTTAACTCAGTGAAATCTTCAATTACTTTCCTGCTCCTCTTCAGTTCTCCCCTTCCCCCATCCAGAATATTACCATGCACTGAGAACACTATTTGATTTCCACAAGTGGTGCAAGGGAAGGGACCAAACCTGAATCTCCTAGGGTACTGTAGAAGAATTGACACATGCTTCTTCTTATGCCTTAAAAGAAGGTGGTGGCTATCACAGATCTATTTTTAGAGGGGTCAGGAACATTAAATGCATTCCAGAAATACCTACAGCCTCAAGCCCCTGAGAAGAACAGCATCCACTCTCCAGTCTGTGATTTTGATTAGATATGAGCACAGAACTGCAGTTTGGAGCTTGTGCAAAAAAAAAGAATAAATAGTGCCTGGAAAGCTTTAGATCAAAACATAAGAATTCTGGTGTCTTCAAGATCAGCTGGCAACTGAAGCAGAGGTTTTCAGCACCAAAACACTTGATATAGGCATCTAAATTCTACTTAAGCTCCACCTAAGGTGCCTAAAACTCCTTTGTTGGGTCTGGCTCCAAATTCCTTTAGTTATATGAACAGGAAGGAAGAAAATCAATACTTCAGGTCCAAATGTGCTGAAAATAGAGTTAATCTATTACATACACATCGTGTCATACTGAAACAATATGAGAATTCTTCTCTTACTTTGGAGAACTCACAGCTGCAATATTTCAGCTCTACTTTGCAGGCTTTTATCACAGTTTTAATGAAGTGTAGTTGGTTTTGAAGTAAAAGCCTGTCGGTTTTCATGAAAAGAATTAGATTTTCTTGCACCGCCTGATCAGCTTTAAAATGGGGCTTAGCTCTCATTATCCTCTGAACATTTTAAAGAAATTAATTGTAGTGATACATTTTAACCTGATGTGACGACAGGCTCATTATCAAGAGTAGTATGCAAGCAGGCAAAGATGGATTATCTAAAAAACGGGCTCAGGGGAAGGAAGTTTAAAAGATTAGACTGTCTCCTGGGTAATGGGTCTTTTTACCAAAGTCAAGAACCTTTGGGAGTGCTCTACATTCACTTGCATTTTTAATAGAAAAGACACCTTTCAGAAGCAGCTGCAAATACCACAAGGCTATCTTCTTAGACCATTATTTATTGATAGGAAGCAGGCAAAGATCCACATAGAAGGCAACCCATTAGGTAACTGCCTGCCTTCTGTGGCCCCAGCACTGTAGCAAGCACCATGCTCTCAAAGTGAGAAGTGGTAACTATTTCCCTTGGAATTTTCAAAGTTTCATTATATATACAGAAGGCATTAGAAGAAGAGGAAGACAAAATAATCAGACTTTTACTGCCTCTGATTAGAGCTCTACCAGCTCTAGATTTTCAGCAGTCACTGTGAGTTTCTCTAGATTTTCAGCAGTCACTGTGAGTTTTCCTCCTTCAGACTTATGCCTATCGAATTTCTAACCCTTCAATTTGCACCAAAGCCTGTCCTGCTGTATTTGGTGATTGTGGTGGCTCTGGCATTAACATCTTGCTTCCTGTCTTCAGTACCTTATGGCAAAGTTCTTATGTGGGATTCCTGCAGTGGAGATGGTCCCCGAGGTGCTCTGACACTGTTCCTCAAGCAGAGGCGTGCCTGTTGACCCTATGCCCATCAGTCCTGGCCATCTTCCAAAGCAGCAAGAGCACTAACAAAAGACTTAAAATGGTTGTTCCTTAGAGAGAAAGACTGTACTACCCACTATCATCAGTGTCTGTGAGCAGAAATAGCCATGCTTTATACACTTCCTCCACCTTCAACCAACCTTCAAATTGAAGGCTGTGATCAGGCTTATTCATGGCTGGTGAGGGAAAAATTGATACTTCATAATGCTGTGCAGGCAGCCCTGCAATCCCTAGTAGCAATGCTTCTCTAGGGGAAAACAGGGAGATACTTTAATAGGAAAACACAGTTTTTGCTTTAAACAATCTTAACTGAGGAAGAATTACTGATGCAGCCTAGTGACTTGACTAAATTGGAAATGGAGTAGGCTTGAGACAAATCTGTCTCAGGCCGTTTTTCAGAGGGAGAAAAGCGCATGTCAATACTTTTGCAATCTCTCCAGCACTGTGAAACACTAGTTACCAGAAGGCTGCTCTAATAAAGGTGAAAGGGGAGGGACAGCTAAGAACTAAACCTTAATAACACACAGATTGTTAAATTCTTGAAAATTAAAACCTTGAAGGAAACAAAACCCAATAGAGAATAACTTAAACTTTAAAAAATATTGAATACGTATAGTTTTCAAACATGAAGAAAAGCAACAAGGAAAAGAAGCACATCACAGAAGAAATAAAGACTTTTCAGAAAGAATCTAGAGCATCCAAAATGTCTCACAAGAGAGAGGCATGGTATGTCTTCTCTAAAGATTTATATAAAGGGGGAAGCTCCCAGCAGGAGACCACCTCTGTGATTAAAACAAGGAAAGCTAGTATCAACAAATTCCACTAGTTATTAAATGTTTTTCACTACCTCCTCTGTGAAGGCTTCTGCCTTGAACTATGAAGATGCTTTGACAAATAGCTTCCAAAAACCCAGCTTGAGGAAGCTACAAAGTTGTTTCATTCATAAGCAGAGACTACAAATTACTGGCAAAAAGTCTGGCTTCCCAGCTGCAAGACAAAACACCCCAAAATAGTGCACTCAATTAGGTGGGGTTTTTGAAGGAGTGGTTGCTGCCTAGCAAAAATAAGGGAACTGATTAACGTAATATATCAGGCGAAGCACGCTGAAGAGCCAGCTGCAGATTTTGTAATAGGAAGAGGCAACAGATTTGAAAGGGACTTTCTCTCTGAGATTATAAACCATTGAAATATTTTATTGATGGTGGTGGTTAAACTTCTCTGCTGCCTCCTGGAACACCAGTGACTGCTGCAGAAAACATTTTATCAGCAACCAAAGCAGAAGTGTCTCAACTTTCCGTGCCTCCTTTCATTCTCTCTCCTTTTTTGCCTTTCCCTACATATACAAGGAAAGGAAAAAGGAATCAAAAACATGGATACATAAGTAATGGCCAACCTACACGTAAATAGCTTGTATTAGCATCAAAGAAGACTGCTCAAAAATCCCCACATTTATTTAAACAGAGTGGCTGGTGATCCACCACCTTTTTTAAAACTTACCCACAGACTATCTGTGAATTGAGGCAGAAAATATCCTCAACACAGTGACAAAACATGGAATATCATATTCTATATGAATATGCAAGGAAAACTTCTAAATTTGTGCTTTGAATTTTCTCCAGTTTTGCTTCCAGGCACCAATTTACCACCTTTCAGCAAAATTTTTGAGAATACTAAATAAATAAAACAACAGCAAACCAAATTCCATAAATAAAGCACGACTTCCTCAAGAAACCCATTTTTCACCTGATTTTCACTGAAGCGATGTCAGAGGGCAAACACTGCATAGGAACAAGGATGAGGTTTATTCTGTGACCTTGAGAGAACTCTCCCTGACTTTCTTTGTTACTCTTCAACTTGGCAATAATTATAAGCACATCCCTGAAGTGCCTCTCAACCACAAATCAGTAACAATCTCTCCTCAAGCTACCCACAGACACTGCGACAGCCACCATCTCTGCCAGATATATAGAGAAGTGTTGCAAAAACTTGTTCGAAAGATACAAAAGGAAATTAGCTCATTAGGGTCAGGGCTGGTGCTATACAAAGAGATAATCGTAGGGTACCAAGCCGGAGCATAAAGTCCACCACAGAAATAGTCATCTATTGTTTTCTTTTGGATCAGGAACAAGTGATGCAACTTTTCCATCACAGGAGAAATGAAGATATTTAAGAGAAAACACAGACAACTATTCAGATGATAGAAAAAGCAGCAGCCAAAACAGAGACCATTGCCTAGGAACAAGTGACAAAATGATGTCTAGTCAAAAACACTCTCCCTCTGACCGAGAACTATTTAGAGGAGATTCTGAGTATATAAAGAGAAACTTGTGACTTTCAAAGGAGACAAATTGTAAGTGACATTAGCTTTCCAAGCAAAAGGATTGAGAGAAATGCCACTAATAATTCAGAGGCTAGCTATTCCCCGGTACAATAACCAACAGATATTTTCATCAAATAGCAGTTAAAACAACTAGACAGAATTCTATTTTAAGCTTGGTTTTGTTAGTAGCGAGGACATTTATAAAAGAACTTGGTCATAGGAAATAACCTTGAATTGAATGATCTGAAGCTGATGCCATTTAAATGGAAGGAAAGAACAAACAAAAAGCATAGGCTGTAACTAACTTGGGCACTAACAGCCTGGAGCTCAGGGCAGGCTGCAAAACCTACCTAAGAAACAGTAAGTTCGCCTGAGCAAACCTAACTGCTACAGTTAAATCAGTGCATGAGTAACCTAATTCAAAGCTGCCATGGATGTTTACATGTTTAGGATGTTTATGCTATTATTACTGTGAGAGTTACAGTACATATAATAGTGAAAGCTTCAGACTTAAAAGGACAAACTTTAAGGAAGTGAGGGGACTAGTGAAGTCAGTTAGTCAAAAATGATCAAAAACCTCTTTCTTAGAAAGGCGGAAATGTCATTAAGTCAAAGGTGCCAAACCTATCTGGAATTGACACCACCAAGGCAGAAGATTGTAGGAAAAGTCTCAAATACATTACTGAAGGTAAGAAAATGACAAAAAGCACCAGTCAGCCAAGAAACAAGTATCTTACTGGTCAGGAGGTGTAAGAATAAAGTCAATATATTCAATAGTCAAAGGAAATTAAAAAAATGGCCTTTAGTCATAAAACTGAAAAGCAGGGAAAGATAAAATGAGGTTCATTATACAAGAAGGAGAAGGTAGTTATTAAAGAACATATAGATATGTTCATAAAAGTAGTCAGGGAAATATCTGGAAAAGGATATAGAACTTGTCTGGACGTGGAAACAA